CATAAATAATGGTACCATGGCTCATAAACGCCGGTAGTCTATTTCTATAGATGCAGATGAATATAACTCATAGAGGCGAAGGTACGAAGTAAAACAAGTCAATATAAAATGATCAATAGACAAGAACTATGATCACAAGAGGTGCTTTGAGGATCGGAGTGCCGAGACTTTACCCCTATTCTTTGCATGATGCTGCAGTAAAAGTCAGAGAGAAGAAGAATTAGTAATATCAAACTCAGATAGAGCACTGTGCTGTCAATGGTGTGGGTCATACAGTATTTGGCCCCAGTGCTCCAGTTGGTCTCCAAAAATGCAAGGGAGGTATGAAATGAACACCTACGGAGTATCAAGTGCTCACAAACAAACTAACTTACTGTGGACGTGATGATCACGCAAAAATGACCTTGTAGTGTCCTGAGATTTTGGATGGTTACTTGAAGCTTGAAGCTCTCCTACAACACCACCCTTCAAGGCCTATGTACCCTCGGTAGTGGCTGGTTTCTTTCCAGTTGGCGTACGAAGTAGTGATTGAGGGACAGTTGTCTAAACCGATCGACACCGATCCATAAAATATGACAGTAATCGGCCAGCATCCGAAACACTATGGTTCTCTGTAAGATATGGGACCATAAAACAATGTCTAGTCATGATGAATACCTTAATGATGGTATTATCTAGCCCACACATTTGGAGACACGATGCAGTCCAGGTCATTGTAATAGATTGTCGTGTCTCCATCGTCCACCTGATCCACGCTTTCTTCTGAACAACAGCCCGGATAAAGGCTAGGAAATAGATGCAAGCAGGGGAGCAACGACATCATCAACATCAAATGCACAGAAATCGTTTTCAGTGGATGGGTAAGATATGGACCAGAAGCCTGTTATTGCGACATTGGACTTAGGGAGTATGACGGGACATTGATATCACACTCTTCTGGATTAGTACTTCGGTCATATCATAATAATGATAGAGCAGGTACGGGAGTATATCTATTCAACAAATTTACAGAACTCCTATAAGAACATTAACTCCTACATTATCACCTTAAGGAGCCTAGTGCACACCCTACAGAACACTGCTAGTCATTCCACAGCGCATCTACAGAGTAATGTAACTCCAGATACGCAAAAAGTCATCAAGATGTGAGGTTGAACTGTTTAAGCAACAAGCATGGCTGGCGCCTTTTCTGATTTCTCAAGTTGTTTCCCTGCTGGCCTGTTCTCTTCACCGGGAGGCATTAGTGGGCGAGGGTGTTTTGAGCTCCACCTGCGCGGGGTATGATCAAGTCAGAGCACCAATCAATTGGAGCCCAAATTAGGGACCCAGGCTAAAGCCTTTCCGAGGTTGGAGCCTTGCATGATTCTTGCATTCCTTAGGTCGCTTTCTCTTCCCCTTCAACATGCATGGCTGGCCTTCACATCACCCCCCTTTTGGTAGCAGACAAGCTGATGATAATTTCTGGCACTATAGTAATGATAATGAATTTTAGTTTTATGATCATGCTGGGAAGTGCAGAATCAGATTTGTATGAGTAACCCCTAATTTTACCAGAGTATTGCCGGTATTCCGCTTGAATGAGTTTAGCATCTTTGTACTTCTTTAAAATCACAATAATAATAATTTCAACTACTGTGGACATTGACCACTCTATTCATATTCAATTACTAACATCTGGTGCTGCGACTTCTCCTGTATTTTTAATATCATTATTGATCACATGTTTGATTATGCTACCCAGTAACATTTCATTGCCGTCATCAGGTTGTATGGCACTTTCTAGCCAGTATCATCAAGTGCCCAAATTACGCATAGTCTTAAATACATGAGATAGAAGCCATGATGTTAACAAAGAATTAACACAACAAAAGTACCACAACTTGTTTCCTGTATTGATGTGTATTGTGTACTCCATACCTCCTACATCAGTGTTGGATTTACGACGCGACAAATGATCAATCCCCCCAACACACCACTTCGAGGTTACCTAAGGCACCTATCTAAGTAACTTCTGATCCATGATTGATCTTTCGCTTCCGCTTCTAGGTAGGTTGACATCCTTAAATCACGACTTTATAGTCTACTGTGTGTTTGCACTTTGCAATGGGGCGATTCTGAGATTTAATTCCTGCTCGCTCTCTCTATGGAAACACAGTACACCATAGTCAAAGCACCTCAGTCACTTTCTACCTATGTGAGTGATTCAATGCTGCTGATGATTGGATCACTGCCTCGTGTGCCCCACTGACGCGTTCCTGACTTGCACAAGAGGAGGACTATGGAGTCGGTACCTCTCTACATATACAGTTCTAACCATGTACAAGTTACACTGTGTGGCATAGCTGAAGTGTTGAGAATAATTCGCATCGGGCAAGTAATGACACAAACGGGTCCTTAAAATGAATGTTTTCTATTAATATGATTATTCATGTCAAGGAATCTGTAATGATTAAGCTGTTGTGGTCAAGTAGCAGACGATGTGTTTTGTTAATTGCTCATCGTATTTCAAGGTACTGCCCAAGGACAAGTGAGATGATGACCTCGGGCTACCCCCATAGGGAGGTAGGTAATAATTATTTTTCCGTTCCCCCTTTCCACCAGTGACCTTCAATCTGCCCATCCATACCTTTAATGACCTTGCCAACTAAACAGTCCCTCAGACTAAGCAGAAAGGAGCTACCTGCTGCCGGCATCAGCCGCCGTTTTGATTTCTAAAGGAATACAACAACATCTACTCCGTATTTGGCTTTTATTTTTCTCCATTATTATTATTCTGGACTGTGTCCTATTTACACATGCACTTATCTGATGGACAACTTGGCTCAAAGATATTTGTCATAATTATTACATTACTTATTGGTGAACCACTGGTTGTTTCTGACCATTTCCGTTATTATTTCCTGCCCTTGATTTTCCCTCGTCAAAGCCTCCACTGCTACGGAGTAGGGGAACCTGCACGCGCTCTTCGCTTTTCCCCGACTTGCGCTACACCCTCTTCTTCACTAGGGCCGCGCTACTTGGACCTTTACCCAGACCGTTCAAGCCGTTCCTCGGGCACGCCATATTAGCCCATCCTCGATCTGCCCTTACTCTAAGTAAAGTCCTGACTACTTCGGCCACGACCAGTGATCTTGGAAGGTCTCCACGGGCGCAACACGCTAGGTTCATGACAGTCTCCCTGCGGCCGTACTCGACACGCGCACCATCTGTCCCAAGTCGCGGCTAGACTATCCAAGCTCTAAGCCTCTAACAGCAATTCGTCCTACTATAAGTTTTTTTCAACATCATCTTGAATTGTCGTCAACACCGCGACACACCACAACAGACAACTGCGTGCGAGGATTCCGTGTGGGCGAATTACAAGAGCCATACGCAGTAGAAGGAAAAGGGGTTGCTCGGTAAAATTCTAATCTCGCCACTTTTTCTGCGGAGAGCTCCGCTCTCAAACAAGAGAAATTCAGGAAAAAGGGAAAAAGAAAGTCAGACAAGGAAAGCTTAGCCGGGAAAAGAGCCTACAACAGTACAGCTTACTCGAAGACACGAAAACACAGATCCGCCAACCGACTAGATTGGATACTACTGAGGGGAAGGGGTGTAAAAAACAATTGGAGAATCGAAAGGAAGAAACTGTTATTTTTTTTCCTTACCGTCGGAGAGTCCTGATATTTCACGGAAAAAGTGGGTCGGAATTACTGAGTGGTAACGGACCCATCACCACAAAGCGACAGCACTCCGGCTATTCAAATCTCGAAGCAGAAAGGGAAGAGAAAAGAGAAAGGAAAAAAAGAAAAGAAAAGGGAAAGAGGAACGGCGAATAGAAACGCAACTTGCGAGAATCCCATCTTTGACCCCCTCTTACGTTCCTCTGGGAGGGTTCCTGTTATCGCCTCCAAGTCTGAAAGCGTGAGCATCTATTGGGCGGTGGCTTTCCAATATTTCCTCTCCTCTCCCTCTCGTCTCCTTTTCACCACTGTGAAAGATTACGTCTCCACGCACTCCACCACACCCTCGGAACCCACGAGGTTCTCTTACCAGTGGTCTCTTTTCTTTCTTTCCTGTTTCGTTTTTCCCTCGCCCTTTTTTTTTTCTTCTTTCACTGCTGGTGAAAAGAATCGCGACTTGGTTCGTCCGAAGCCTTTTTAGGCCGCCTCCTCCACCCAGGTTCGTTACCGGCTCGAGTCCGACCAAATTTCCCTCCGTCTCGATTTTAGGGTGATTTATATCCTGGGTCGCCACTCGATCAAGACACAGTCTCTCGCGCTATCTCTCTTTGAGTCTGGTGGTCCATTTTATTTGTTTTTTTCAATCTTAAACCTTTTATCTAATCATTTCCTCGTTTCGCTTGTGGGTGCTGTGACTGGCCTTGGCCCTGGATTACTTTCTTAACCCTCGTCCCCCAGGCCTAAAAGCGACGGTTCCTTTTTTCTTCCCGCTGGTTCCTCGTGCTGCTGTGCCTACCGCCACCTGCAAGGCATCCTCCATCCACCCTAAAAGGCGACTAAGGCAATTAAGCATCATCTTGATCCAAGCATCATATCTTTCAAATCCAGCACCGTCTGATATCCCTATTCTTAACTCAATTTGTCAATTACTTCTGCCCCGCGGTGCCATTTGTTTTACGACGAGATCACGCGCTTGATCTTGTCTGTTTTCTTTTCAGTTTCCATTCACCTTACAATCATCAGGTCAGGTGTGAATAGCGCCTGCGCGAGTCCTCTGTTGATACTGTTTCTGGATTGGGCGACTTCCAACCAGATTCACTACTGAAAAGTACGTCTATAAAGGAAGAAAGAAAAAGAAAAAGAGAAAGACTTCGTCACAAGATCATATTGCGATCTTGTACACCAATCTTTCCTTCCCCTCCTTCATATCGCGATACAACATACTCGTGTTTGTATCCATAAAGCTCATTGTGTTTTTCGACGCGTCTAGAAACAGCAGACACGCGAGTTTGGAGGAAGATTAGGGACATCTTCAGTTCCGGCTGAGATCTGTGTTTTATGGACAACAGACCTGCCTCCGAGTACGCGCAGTCAGGTTCGCACTTTCCGTATCCACCGTCTGCCGCTCCGCATTCTGAACTCCCAGCTGCAGACCAGGCTTCTGCTGCTGCCACTGCTCAATACACGCCTCAGCAAGAGGTCCGTCCTACCCCTCAGTACACGCCTCAACCCGAGGTTAGACCTACCTCTGCCGCCGCCGCCAATATTTCGTCCTCCAACACACCGCAGTCTGACTACGGTCTGAACCAGCCGCCCGCCGCGCGCTCACCCGCTTATCCGGACTACCTCGCTCGCCCGCCTCAATACCATCACGCCCCCAACACCCAGGCCGGTGGTGCGGCAGGTATGGCTCAAGCAACAAGTCCGTCCATGACCACCCTCCATGATGGGCACCAAAATGACCATCGCAATCACACGAACGTGAAGTCTGACGCGGACGTTCCTATAGATCCCTCAATCGCGGCCTCTAGCCCTACCTATCCTCCTCCCTATTCGCCGTATCAGCCTCAAGGTCATGACATGGCCCAGTATCAAGGTCATCCTCCCCCGCCGCCTCCTCAGATGTATGGGCGTCCGGAATGGTCGCATGGTTATGGACAGCACCAGCACGGTCTTCCTGGACCCTATAGCGCTCCTGCTACAACGGTTGGTCCCGCCTCCCCTGCTGCGACCGCAGGGCCGCGCCCTGGCCAGGTATGTCTTTGATAATTTTGGCGTCTATTTCCAAAGGCTGCGCGTCCGCGTTTTTTGTTGTCTTGGACGCCTCTGAAATTGGAGGCCGCTGCCTGCGTGCCCGACGGGGTTGTGGAACACGGCGCACTCTTCATCTGCACCGAATATGTTGTTCAAAAGCTCATCGAATTTTTTGCAGGTTTACTCTTTTGTGCCCATTCCTGGGGCGCAACAGCACAAACGACCCCGACGTCGCTATGAAGAAATCGAACGTATGTACAAGTGTGGCTGGAACGGGTGCGAAAAGGCTTACGGTACTCTCAACCACCTGAATGCCCACGTTACTATGCAGTCGCACGGAGCCAAACGGACTCCCGAAGGTATGTTTCCGATATATTCCTCTATCTTGTTTTCTTTCTCTTTTTTTAAAGCCCAATTACAATGTCACGGATTTGCCCTGTTTTGATAGCGCCATTGGTTTCGATAAGACTAGTGCGGGTATCTCACACTAGTCGAGTTACACTGCTTTAGCGCTGCGGATCGCAGTAGCGCAAGGCACTGGCGTGGAGTTAAATTCTACATACCGATTCAACGTCGATGCTCAGAATGTGGAGCATTTTGTTTCATTTGCCCGCTTTCACTCACCCTCGACTGTGTTCTATCAACTAATCTTGCCCTTTTGCCACAGAATTCAAAGAAATTCGCAAGGAATGGAAAGCTCGAAAGAAGGAGGAAGAAGCTCAGCGTAAAGCTGCCGAGGAGCGTGAACGTGCTGCCGCCGCTCAAGCCGCTCAGGCGAACCAGGTTGATGCTCCCGGTCCTACCGATCCTGCGCAGGGTCAACCTCCTGCTTACGCTGGCGGTGTCCGCCCTCAGCTGCCGCCAATTGGCTACCAACCTGCCGACGGCCAAGTACCGGGGCAGTACGGCGGTGCCAGTGGCATGGTGTATCAGGGTAATGGCCAGATGGCCTATCCTCCAAACTACCCTCACTCCCCGTATGGACAAAGCGGGCAGGTGTATCAGCAACGTAAGTAGTCAGTCCTTTGTTATCATTGCATTGTCAGGACCGAGCCACGAGGAAATGCACAAAAAAGAGAGGAAGGGAAAGAAAAGAAGAAAAAAAGAACATATCTCTTGTCAACATGCCGCAAGGCAGGATGGAAAGACGTTTCAACGAGGTCCTTGGATCTATTGCTCTAAGGGATAATAGCTGATCGACGATGGCTTCTTGCAGAAAACCAATCGGCCAGCTACCCACAATAGATGCCCATCATTCCTGTGTTCTCTCAGGTTGCATATTCTAATATCTCTTACCTCCCTAATCCCGTGTCGCCATCGCGGATCTAATTCTTTAAAGTCTCGCGCACATGATACCATCTGGCCTTGATTCGTTATTCTCGAAGAGCGGCCTTGCGACTTACGCTCTGTCCCCGTTGTTGTTGTTTTTGAATTAGATCGCTTGACATGAAAAGAGAAGACAAAACCACCCCTTTGCACTCAAAAGACAACATGCCCTCGTCGTTGCAAAAAACCGGCTCCAGGACTGTTGTGATTTTGGACTCCTGGCGAGGCACTTTGCATGAGCTGAGCATGCTCCTGTGATACATGCCGGCATCTTTCTTATCGAGCCCCTTTCATTGATACTCTGCTTCGCTTCGCATTGTACTTTTCTTCTCCTTTGTCCTAACTGATGTTTTTCTTTCCTCGTTACCCTGGGTTGGTTTGAACTTGTGCATTATGTCCTTTGCTCAGTGGACCTTCCACGCAGTCATGACCCTGTCTGGTGGCTAAAGTCTTACAATTCGATCTTGATTATTCCGCTCTTCGCTCCTGGTGGCAACTGCCACCTCGTTGGGCCTTTGAAATTTGAGACACGTGATGTGGTGCATAATCGAAGCTTGATAGCTCAAATGATGATGTCCAAAAAGACTTAATTGCGGTTTCCTCATAGATAAATAATATTCCTAGGCAACATCACTTGGAGTTGAGAGTTTGGGTGGACGCAACCCCTATTAATGACACAGGTACGGGGAAGCGCTGTCCATGAACGGGTTGAAGTACCAGGAGGGTTAGTGAGGCTGTAGAAGATTTGAGCATAGGGTTCTTGACACACTCTAGGAAGGTATCAAATAAGACATTGTCATGTGCCTTGACTATGATTTGAAGTTTCCTTCGGGTGCTTGATTCAATCGTGTTTTTTACTAAATGAGACAGTCGCCGTTGCATGTTCTATGTCATTTTAAGTCGAACCCCAGTTAGTCGCTGCTTATCCCTCTTAACCTTCAAGCGGAGGGTTCCCACTTTTCTGAGAGATCGGTAAGGTAGGACAGACTAGTATCCTAAGTGGCCTAGCCGTAAATAATAAATGCAACGATTAGTCGATCCTGAAGCATGTACGGGACTAAGAAACGGGACTACCGAGGAGGCTAACAGTAAGCTTGAGCCCGCGGTCTCATAAGGCTGAACCAAGAGCATAGCGCAGTGTGGCGAAGCTGTGCAACGTGTGGCTTGTAGTATGGCTAGTGTAGTTCCCTGGCTTTGAAGCAAGATAGTCCGGACGGAGTTATGTTCCCCCGCAAGAATGCAGCAATCGCAGTGCGCTAACCTTTTATCGCCTAGCTCTGATAGCAGCGATAACTGCGATAGCCCAGACGCTTTTTTGGGCCTGGTCTGTATGATTTCTTCCGGTGGCCGCTCAAGGGTGTTATTCTCTCCAACGTCCTATCTTCTCTTCCTCAGTAACTTTTGTTGATTACTGTTCTTGCGAAAATCCAAATAGCGAGTCATTTGAAATTTTGGTCTGCCGGCCCAGCTTTAACATTCGGAGTCGACGATTGCGCATTCGACTACGCCAGGTCGAACGTTTGGACCTTTCAAAGGGGTCTTTAGAGGATCAGGTGTTAGTGATTGAGGAGATACGGTAGGGTCAAGACCTGAAGGGCCCTAAATGCTTCGCTGTACCAATGGCGCTGCGCTTCGGACGAGTGTCCAGCACACTGTCGGACTGAAAAGTCTGCCGGTCTCAAGATCCACTCAAGTCTCTCAGAGTATCCTATACGGTGCTCCTCTTGCGCGTGCCGCACAGAGAGGTCGCGTTGTGGGGAAATCTGTAGCCTGGGGGTCAATTTCCGGCGTGAAGCGGTACTCGACAGAGGCTGCGAGGTTGGCCGATGCGGAAGAGCAAAGTGCTGCTGATTCAACGGCGAATTTTGAGGACGACGAACCACCACAGAAAAAGAAACCGATCTGGGACAAGAGAAAACGCTTCCAGGACCATGTGCTGTTGGAGATTGCCAGCGGCGGGGCGCATCCCGATGGCGGTCCCTTAGCGGACGTTGTCAGGAGGAAGGTGGTAAAGAGGGAGCTGCAGTGGTTGCAGGATCCCAAGGCGCTGGCGGACCGGGTCGCCAAAATCTTGCAAGCCGACGATTTTGCTCTCGCGGTGGCCATTGTTCGCGGGGCGCAGAAGGAGAATATGGAGTGCTCAGTGGGGTGGAATCACTTACTGGAGTACTGTATGAACAAGAAGCAACCTAAAGCGGCATGGAAGCTCTACAATGAAGTGAGTAGTTTTCTTTCCCCCCCTTCGCAAGTTTTCTTCTTGCACGGTTGCTGACTGTCGTCTCTCCGCGAACTCGCAGATGAAGAAGCGTGGACGAAAGCCTACTTCCTGGACTTATACGATTATGTTGTATGGTCTTGCCACAGTGCCGAAAAACGTGCACATAGGGTTGAATCCCGTGCAAACTGCTTTGTCAATTTACAGATCTATCTATGAGCTTAACTCTGCAGTTAAGCCTTCTATCATCCACAGCAACGCCATGCTCACCGTATGTGTTCGCCATGGACATACAGATACACTATGGGAGATTGCGAGTGAGCTACCCGAGGAGGGGCCATGCTCACCCGATGCTGTGACATACACTCTTATATTGAGAGCCATCAGAGACGCCGTCAGTACTGACGTGACTAAGATGTCTGAGATTGATCGCATCTTGGAGCGAAGGGCTCAGGGCGTCAAGGAAGGCAAACGAATCTGGTCTGATGTTGTCTATCGGTGGAGCAGAGGTCAACTCGACTTAGACATCCAACTCGTGCGTACAATGGCCCGCCTCTTGCTTGAAGGCGGCAGCGAGCGCGATTGTTACGATGTCTTCGCACTCTTGAATCAAACTACTGGGCTTCCCATCCTGGCAAAGAAGCCTTCACCTGAGCGCCAGCGGGAGTCTGAGATGGCCAGACGCCTAAAGAGCCGATCCGCAGAAAATAAGGAGATGGAAGACGTTCCCTTTGTAGACGAAGGCAACCGACCATACAAACCAGCAGAGACCGAAATGGAAGAACGGGAAGAAAAGGCAGAGCTAAAAGAGGAAGAGGAAGACGATGAGGAATTCGAAAATCTTTTTGACCCAGTGGTGTCTACTGATTCTGCTTCCAAAATGAAGAAAGGCACCATTGGTCCATCCTACGTTGTTCCAGGTGACAAGGAGCTCACCATACTCGTGGAAACTTGCTATACCATGACTCAGGGTCTTGGTACTGGAAAAGCTTACTGGAAGCATCTAACGCTCGACGATCACGAGTATACCATCAAACCAGACATGCCTTCGTTGCATGCATACTTACGACTACTAAGAGTTTATCGCGCTAGTCGTGCTACGGTCGAGGTTGTGCGCGAGCAGGTGCCCGAACCAGTATGGAAAACATTCCACATCGCGATGAGCTGTTGTCTTCGCGATCGCAGGAATATCAACGTTCTCAAAAATGCCAACGAACTATTGGGAATCATGGACAAGTCCATGGTCCTTCCCCACCCCCGGGCGCTTGAGAAGTATCTTAACCTCGTGCAAACACTACAGGACAATCCACAGCGCCTCATATCATTGAATGGTCTGAAGATTGCGCGGAAACCCTCTGACAGCCTCGACATCGTGGGTCGGAAATTACAGCTGAGCTTGCAGACAGTTGCTCTGGAGAACCTGCGTCCTCACATTGACAAGCTTCATGAGGCTATGAAGAATGGAAAGACTTCATTTATTTCACCGGCTGAGCGGACGCGGGCGGGCGCGGCCGATACTGTTTCTGGTGCGACCGCTCGCACGGTGATGGATCGCACCCGAGGTCTGATTGACGAGATCCTCAAGCCTGAGAATGCGTCCCTCCTTTCCAAACTGGACCGTGAGCAATTCGAGCAAGAGTCGCAGAAACTCCGCGAATACTCGGATGCCGAGATGGTCCGAAAGTTCGAATACGCTCGATTGCATCCAACTCTCGAACAGGTCATGGCATTCCAGGAGAAGCATGACCCTAAACAGAACGCTGTCGAGACCCAGGCCGCTGACGACGCCGACTAAGCTTCGTATCTATATGCAAGGCTTATGGCGGGGCTTGTTCGAAGGCCCATTTGATTTGTACAGCTTGTGTAAACACCCTCTCATTACTATATCCCATCTTTGTCTGGCATATTGCATGCATATACAAGGGTCGGCACTGCAACATTAACATGTATTATATGGTCTTTCTGTTTCTCTTGGGTTGAAGATCTGTGCCTGTAAATATTTCATCTCCAGACTCACTTCTAGATCACAACGGACAATCGGTGATTGATGATCGGACTGATCACATTGTGTCGAACTGATCCAAGCATATGCCCACGTGCACTCATGAGGGCAGCAGCTGAAGTATACAGCCAGCTGATAAATCAGCACATATTCTAAGACATATTAATAGTATGAGTTACCAGTCCTACTGTTGGAAAGGGCGGATTGTTTCATTCTCAATCGTTCATAGAGATACTGTTCCGCCTGCCATTTTCGGCCCGTGCGCGTACGTAATGCCACTCTAGCCTCTCCGCCTGAGACAGCAGCACGAGGGAGACTTTACTGCTGTTTCCAAGGGACGCACCCTCACAATACCCTGTTGAGAATACCCTCTTGAGGATTCACATCCCTTTTAACCTATTTCAATCAAGGGAGCAAGGTCGGAGAGTATACAGCTTGACAGGGCGTGAAAAGCTACCATTGGACCAGAGTCGGAGCTCAAGCAATCTACGTGCCTACCATGGCCAGCACTTCCCAAAGTCGTTTCCATGAGGATCTACACGACGATGAATCGATCCTTGATGACGACCTAATTGAGGCCGATGATGGTGAGTACGTCTCATTTTCTATGTTCTTTCTCGATATTATCAGATCGGCTCTTGTTTGTTTACCCGAGCTACTACGATGTACTGACGCTTCATGACCTTTTTACCGTGCCAGCCATCGAAGCCGATGACCCTCTTCACACTTCCGATACCGCTCCGCTAAGAGGTAACATCCAGTCCGAACCCTCGAGTTCGAGCAGAGGAGGTTTCGGAAGCAATCTATCCAGCAATTACCTGACATCGACCATCCCGGGGGAGGATCGCCGCGCAACGCAGAACACCATCGATGAAACCGTTTGGGAGACGCTCTCACGAGATCTACGAGCAGTATGGGAAAAGATGCGGCAAGTGCTGTGGCCCAAGTACCTGATAGGAGGTATGCTGCAGCGCGGCGGCGGAGGCATCGGGGCCGCCGAGAGAGGAGAAGCGACAGGGTTCGGTGGCGGACTCAGAGGCCTTGTAGGACGCTGGCCGGATGCCGATGTGGTCTTGCAGGGTGGAATGAGTGAGGGTCTGCGTGACTGGGATCTTTGGTAAGTGGGAAATGGTCGACTGAAACGGCGGGCTGGCTGGCTAACATGTTCAAAACTGTGTGCAGGGGTCCGCTTATTTTCTGCTTGCTCCTGAGCATGTTTCTATCGATGCGCGCAAAGGATGACCAGTCATCCCTCGTCTTCTCGGGTGTCTTCTCCATAGTCTGGATTGGAGAGGCTGTTGTGACCTTGCAGATCAAGTTGCTTGGTGGGAATATGTACGTTTCGCCTCTGAAGTATATGAAGCTTTGGAGTACACTAACGGTTGTGTCCTTCGATTACTAGTTCGTTCTTTCAATCTGTTTGCATCATCGGCTACACTCTGTTCCCTCTGGTCATCGCTGCTATGCTCAGCGCATTGGGTCTCCCGACTATTGCCCGGATACCGGTATACCTAGCGCTGATTGCATGGTCCTTGGCTGCAGGTGTGAGCATTTTGGGTGGTTCGGGTGTGATCAAGAACCGGGTAGGCATTGCAGTCTATCCGCTGTTCGTATTCTACATCGCGATCGGCTGTCTTTGTTTTATCAGTTAGAAGATTGGAGGATCGATACGGCCGGCCAGGTATCCTAACAATCTAGTTGCAAACGAAGGTTCCAGTCTACAGTCAAGCGCTAGATGAATTGGAAAGGGACAGGAACACGACATTTGGGCATGTATGCTACTATATCATCAGTGAATGAGCTCTTTTTCTTTGTTTGTGTCAGCTATTATCATATCCGAATTCACAAGTATTGTACTTTAGATATTCTAGCATTTTCAAGATATCCAATGGAATGTTCTGCCCAGACTCCATTGACATCTGCATCAAGGTAAGCGGGGTGGATCCGAGCGGTGACCGGGCGACAAGCCGGAGTGACAATAAGACAACACAGCTCAGCGTCACTCTTCCTGGAACTCGATTGTCTCTCGGTCTGCCGCTTCATCACCTTCCTGTATCGGCGTACGTTGCTGTTCTCGTCTTCTGGATGTTTCGAACCAGAGCCTCTCAATCGAGCGTCTACAAAGAGGTACGTCGTTCGGCTGGTTCGCATCGCACGTGTTGGCACAAACCTCACTGTACCGTGCGTGGGGCCTAAATTGCAGCTACTCTGTGTTGTTCCTCCCTTCTCCTCTCCCTCGCTCCACCCTTACTGGATTTATGACCGAGTCTTCGTACTTGAGACGACATTTATATTTGTCGAATGACCCTTTTGATGTGCCCATTGAGTTGACACGGCAGGTCGCAGTTTCATACAGAGCCTTATCTACCAGTTCAGCCGCTCAGCGCTACGATAATCCGATCTGGGCTGGCTGTGAAGAAAATCGTCTCTACACTATCGAATGAGATTACTGGTGGAAATAAGTGGTAAATATGGCGTCGGATCTACAATCTGCTGCAGGTATGGAAGGTAAAGTTCTTGTTTCCCCAGAACTTGTATTGGAGTTCTATGTTGACGCAGCGGCTTGTTATTAGGTGAAATTCGAAAGGAGGAAGAAACGGGAAAGACGCAAGGTATGAGAAACACTGTCCGCTTTGCTTGTTATCGCCAAAGCGATCACCGAAAACCTCCTCTTTGCACAATTGGATTAACACCCACTGCGATTACAGGAACCACGGCGGAAGATAGCCAGGCGTCTGACAACGAGGGAACCGAGCGTCCCGTGCGACAGAAACTGAAGGAGACGTCAATCGCTTCTACTCAGCAGGAGACAATCACCAAGAACGGTGAGGAAGCAACCGATGCGAAGATGACGTCGACTACAGATGCACAGCAATCAGCGGATACCAACCACACCATGGAACTCGGCGGAGGTTCGAATAGCCGGTCGAGCAGCCGAGGCAGAAAGAGGTCATTCGATGACGAAGAAGCGGAAAGTGATGGCGAGGAACATGGCCACAGACGCAAGAGATCGCGCGACTCTACCAGCGAAGGCGACGAGCGGCCGCCACGGAGCGAGAGTGATCTTCCAAGGAAGATCTTGAGCCCAAAGAAAAAGAGAAGTCGGGACAAGCTCGATGAAGACGGGTCCGGGGAACGTGCTACGGAGAAGACGGATACGAAGGCCGAGAATGTGGAATCAGAAGAGAAGCCCGAGTCTGAAGGACAGCCTGAGAAGAAGCGACACCGTGACAATTCCACGGAAAGAAATCCGGTAAGTGTTGATCGTCACATTGTATCCTTGGCCGGGAAATGGCGCTGACATGCATGGCTCGGCAGGCCCCTGTCACGAGCGCCTTTGCCAATACATCCGCAGTCTCTCCATTCGGCTCCCTTGGCGCATCAAAATCCAAGGAAGAAGTACCTACCAAACCGGTGGCTGTAACCTCTACCTCTGCCTTTGCCTCGTCAAGCCTGGCAGCATTTGCTGGGTCAGAGCAGTCGCCTTTCGGTTCGCTTGGAGCGTCCACTCCATCTATTTTCAAGTCGCCAGCCGCGTCCGAGATTGAGAAATCAGGGGCCACGGGGTTTGCAGCTGGAGCAAGCACCTCCGGCTTTGCGGGCTTAGGATCAGGTTTTTCAGGGTTCGGTGGTGGATTCGGAGCAACTGCTAAATCCGGGGGGCTCACCAGCTTCGCTTCTCCCACTGCGCCTAGCACCTTTGGCAGTAGCACTAAGGACAAGCCATTTGGGGCAACGGATGCGGATGAAGAAGAGGAGGAAGAGGAGGAAGCCGAAACAGGCCCCAAAGAATTCGAGGCAGAGAAACCCGACGAGAGGTTCTTTGAGCGGCAGAGTATGTGATATTTTGTCCCATTCCCAATGGACTGCTTCAAAACTGACGTCTTTTCTTCTACCACAGTTGAGACAGGTGAGGAACAAGAGAAGACGTACTTCAGCGGCAAAGCGAAGCTTTTCCAATTCACGAACAAGGAATGGAAAGAGCGCGGTATTGGCACATTCAAGGTGAATGTGAGAGTAACGGACGGCCAGGAGGACAAAAAGGCGGCTCGCATGATCATGCGAGCGGATGGCGTCTTGAGGGTCATGCTCAACACGCCCCTTTTCAAGGGCATGAAGGTCGGAGATCCATCGGGCAATGAACCCAAGTCCAAGCAGATTCATCTGGTTGGTGTCGAGGATGGCCGTACTTTCCCCCTCCTACTCAGGGTAAAACATTCATCTACAAGTGTCCATCGTAACATGGTTACTGACATAACATTAGGTGGGAAGTGAGGACGTCGCCAAAGAGCTCTACCATGTCATTCAGGATCTATTACAGCACCAGTAGACTATGTCACTAAAGGCCCGATTGTGACGATGCAACACCAATCGGTGATGGAGTACATTATTAGCTGTCCATACTTGGAGAACTTTTACGATACCTGGACCGACAATAGACCTTATGTGGCAATTGACAGAGCGGGCTTGGAGATGTGGGCTGGCTTTCTTGCATTTTCTGGCTGGGTTGTTGGGGGCTTGAAGTTCTGGAGCATGAAGCTTTGGAGCATGGTTTGAACTATCTAGACTGAGGAGTAACTTCTGTCTTCTTTAATAATACATATTGCACTCTTTTCTTGCTTCGTCTCGTTGAGGCTATGTGGGAGGTAGAGTACGCTAGTCCATAAGTGGCTATATGAAATGAGATGGCACGTGATATCGCGTCTCGCCTGGTGGATGAATTGCTTTCTTTGCCCACGTTTAATTCAGCATTATTGCATCCCAGTGACAACCACGATGGAGCGTCGACATGGCTGGCCCAATGTCAGACTCAACTCCCCCCGGCATCGCATTGAAAAGAAGACGAAACGATGAGGTCGACAGAATAGGCGACTTTCGATCAAACTCGCCCGAATTTAGCAATGCGTCCACGGAAGACAACCCCCCTTTGCAAGAAGGTCCCAATACCAAACGAAAACGCGGAAGACCACGAAAGGCACCTAATGCGGATGCGACGCACGAAGCGAAGACCGGCTCTAGTAAAATACCGATTAACCAGGGCGACAGTCTAGACTCGAAATGCGACGCGATACTCCAGACCGGCAAAGCCGAACAAGGAAAGCCAAAATCCAAATCAACCAAAACATTAAGAGCCCAAAAGGTGACGAAGAGCCCATCACCCAAGCGCACACCCTCCGCACCCTGGCCGGAAGCCTTCAGAAGTTTATCTCAGACCCACCGCGCCCTGAACCTGGTGTATACATTCTGCTGCACGCGCAAACACTTCGCCACGACGTTTGAGAATATCCGGAAAGCGGTACAGGCGCAATTGGGCAGTGGTCGCGAGCTGACTGTCGAGGATATTGCACGGGTGAAGGTTCTGGTGCCTCGAGCGGTGAAACTCGAGTATGTGAACGAGGCCAAGTTAGAGGTTATGACGGTGGGGGAGAAGGAGACAGCGATGAATCAGTCTTATGGCCTCTCGCATCCGGAATGCGATACGGCTGATGCTGATGCGGATGTCCAGACGAAGGAGGTGTTGCTATTCGAGTTCCTGGACGGGGATCTGAAGCGTGAGGTGCGACATCCGAAGAACGGGGAGCCTACGAAACCCATGCGAAAGATGAAGGACGAGGATCTGAAGATGCCCGTGTACAGTCAAAAGCAGATGCTCGCTTTGATTGAGAAACGGAATCAGAAGTTCTCTGATGCCATTGATGCGTTCCTGGTGCAGTGTGAGGATGACGGCACCGATCCAGTTGCGAAGTTGGAGAGGGAGAAGGACGCATGGATTCCGTGTCCACCTGTTTCTGAGGATGACAGCCTAGAAACGACGAAACTCCTCTCGATGCCGCCTCGCGAGATCCCCAAGGAGCGCCAATCCATGGCAGAGATCATCGAAGAAATTCGCGCAATGGATTGGTACTTCGCTCAGATTGTACCCGAAGGCCATAGAGTGTTTGAGGCGCAGTCTCCCGTCTACGGAGACTTGAAGTTTCAGCTCTCGCAAGACCTCGTTAACGCTTTGTACAACACAAAGGGCATAACACAGTTCTACTCGCATCAGGCCGAAGCGATCAACTCCCTATACGCCGGTCAAGATGTCATTGTATCTACGTCTACAAGCTCCGGCAAGTCATTGATTTACCAGGTCCCAATGCTTCATGAGCTCGGAAGAGACCCAAACAGCCGCGGCATGTACATTTTCCCCACTAAAGCTCTCGCGCAGGATCAGAAGCGTAGCATGAAGGAGCTTCTGCAGTTTATGGACGGCTTACAGGACATCATGGTCGAAACATTCGATGGCGATACACCGATGGGGAGCCGCAACCTCATTCGTGATGAGGCCCGCATTATATTCACAAATCCGGACATGCTGCACATCACGGTATTACCACAAGAAAGTTCTTGGCGTACCTTTTTGAAGAACCTGAAATTTGTTGTCGTCGACGAGTTGCATGTCTACAACGGTCTATTCGGATCACATGTCGCATTCATCATGCGACGGCTGCGTCGGATCTGTGCTGCGGTGGGTAACCGACATGTCCGGTTTATATCCTGTTCTGCCACTGTAGCCAACCCCGAAGAACATATGAAGGCAATATTTGGCATTGACAATGTCAGACTGATTGACTTTGACGGTTCACCGTCAGGCCGCAAGGAGTTTTTATGCTGGAATACCCCTTACAAAGACCCCAACGACCCCACATCAGGACGCGGAGACAGTGTTGCTGAAACTGCTCGTCTCTTCTGTCAGTTGATCCTCAGAGGCGCGAGGGTAATTGCCTTCTGTAGGATCAGGAAAGTGTGCGAGGTACTACTACAAGCTGTAAGGAACGAATTTCAGACCATCGATAGACCTGAAGTTGGAAAACTCGTGATGGGTTACCGGGGCGGCTACAGTCCGCAAGACCGGCGGAAAATTGAGAAAGAGATGTTTGAGGGCCATTTACTGGGGATTGTCGCTACGAACGCCCTCGAGCTGGGTGTCGATATTGGCTCTCTCGATGCTGTAATCACTCTTGGCTTCCCTTATTCCATCTCCAACCTGCGCCAGCAGAGTGGTCGAGCTGGACGTCGAAACAAGGATTCTTTGTCTGTGTTGGTTGGCGATAGGTTTCCGACCGATCAATACTACATGCAAAATCCAGATGAACTGTTCACAAAACCCAACTGTGAGCTACAGATTGATCTTTCCAATGAGCTGATCCTCGAAGGACATGTTCAATGCGCGGCGTTCGAGATGCCGATCCGGCCGGATGAGGATCAAGTCTATTTTGGAGAGCAACTGCATGAGCTCGCGGCCACGAGACTCGTGAAGGACAGCATTGGGTTCTACCATTGCCACGAGAGGTTCCGACCTCATCCTTCCCGATGTGTGCCCATTCGTGATACAGAGGACCAGCATTTTGCCGTCATTGACGCAACAAACGCACGCAATGTCGTCCTGGAGGAAGTGGAGGCTTCTCGTGCCTTCTTCACGATCTACGAAGGCGGCATCTTTCTGCATCAGGGCCAGACATACCTCGTCAAGGAACTGAACACTGACCAGCACTTCGCTCGCGTTGTCAAGGTCCACGTGGATTGGAGCACAATGCAGCGCGACTACACTGATATTGACCCCATTGAAACAGAAGTGATGCGGCAGATCAATCAGACCTCCGCTTCCCGCGCATTCTACGGCTCGGTGCAGATCCACGCAGTCGTGTATGGCTTCTTCAAGATTGACAAGCGCGGCCGTGTGCTGGATGCTGTGGCGGTGGACAATCCGCCGATCGACATCTTCACCAAAGGTATGTGGCTCGATGTGCCCAAACGCGCGCTAGAGATCCTCGAATCAAGACGCCTCAACATCGCTGCCGCTATTCACGCAGCCGAACATGCTGTCCTCTCCCTGCTCCCTACGTTCGTCATCTCCTCGCCCGGCGACGTCAAAACGGAGTGCAAAGTCGCAAAGAAGGAACTCGGCAGAAACCTCAAGATCGCGAACGAGATGCGCGATCAACAAATCAAAGAGAACATCAGGAAACTCCAGCCCCCGACCCGGCAACGGCCAGCGCGTCTCACCTTCTACGACGCCAAGGGCGGCTCGTGCGGCTCCGGGATCGCCAGCAAAGCGTTCGAGTTCATCGACGTCCTGCTTCGCCGCGCGGTAGCACGCATCGAAGCGTGCCAGTGCGTCACACCGCAGGGATGTATGGAGTGCGTTTGCGATGAGAGATGCAGGGAGTTGAATTCGGTGATGAGCAAGGCGGGGGCCGGCGTTGTGCTGCGGTGCCTGCTTGGTTGGGATGTCGACATCGATGCTCTGCCTTGGGGGGAGGATGTCGAGGGCGAAGACGGACTAAGGGAATTGGCCGGGGGACTGGAGACCGTCATCCCGGCGACCGAAGTGCCGTTGCGTCGTCAGTCCCGTAGCGATAGCGTGTAATTACACTCCGTCCAGCGTGAATTGCCGGTATCACTGTGCTGCATAGCATCCAGCATTGTTGTCCGTGCCTTCTATCTCCTGTGTAGACGATAAAGTACTTAGAGTAAAGCATGACCTTTTCTCCGTCCTTTCTTGGATGGTCTCTGTTTTCTCTCTGCAATGGAACAGTCACATGTCACTCAGCACTCAAGCTCAAGCCAGACCTCCCCATCGGCTGCAGGAAACGACAATGATTTGTGATGGAGGCTGACAGGTCCGCATAAAGTTTCTTGTCCAAAATAGATGCATCTCAGTTCGTGGACCTCATTCTGCAAGCCCAAAATCACTCTTAAGGTTACTTATCCGACCGTAGACGTAGATCCCTGCTGATTTCGCCTCCAACGAAGAAAACGAATCAAAATAAAATAAACAAAAACATACAACAGCCGGGATTCGCTGGTGGTCACCCACCCAACTACTAACCGGCCGGCGTGTGGCTTAAGTACGGCTGAGCGGACGGGAAGCCCTGTTTTCCACACCCTATGGTCGTATGTGATAGATTTGTGGCAGATCCAGTTTGTATCGAACATCTTTGACATGGTTGAGAGACGAAGTAGTCGTCTCAAACAGATTGTAGAGCGTCTATTGTTATCGCGCAGCGATCATAGCGGAGTTTGTATACAAATGCATGGATATGACGTATAGGGTGAAATGCCGTTTGTATGAAATCCCAGCCAACCCTTGTAGCAGCTCCAGGTATAAACGGGTATTTCCGTTTTATGCACGCGTCCCATGCTGTTGATATAGACAATTCAGTAGAGCAGGAAAAATCAGGAACAAAAAATACGAGGGTATATAGGCTGAACAGGCACATGGAAGTAACCAAGAATAGGTGTCAAAACGAGGAAGGGTATGATATCATGATGTTGGTCGAATGAGGC